TAATTTGCGGGGGTTCAATGTCACAAATGTAGTGCCTGATCCTTCAGAGTAATTAGCATAGTAGAAATTACATTGAAACTAGAAAAATGGAAGCCATTTTACAGGAAATCCTGATTACTGGGGATTCTTTCTTCCAAAATGGAACGTAAACTTGAAGCTTCTTTTAGAAGTCAGTACTAAGACCCAGGACATTCCTGATGCTGCATTGTACTGTTAGTACATGATATCAGTACTGATGTGAGAGAAGGGAAAAATTCTTTGAGCTAGGCTGGGAATGAAAAGAATAGCTCCGCAGTTAAATGTCTGCAAAGAAGAGATCCTAAAATAAGAGGACATGTGGGGAATGAGGAGCCATAAGGCTGGTATTTCACAAGGTACCTAACAGTAGCTCCAGTAGTTCATCAAGTACTGCCTGGTTTCCATCTGCATTTTCCAAATCAGTGCATTACCGCACAAAGCATGCTGATTTTGATGACATACATTATTGTTGGACAGGTTCAAAACCTGAATCTCAGTTTCAGCCACGATACTCAGTACTTCTACAAATCATGCTTGAGGCATGCAGAAAACACTGGGGAAAAATGGCTATTTTTATAAAGCCTGTAAATAACTAGTCCAATACTATACTGGAATTCTGTATCAGAGGAAGCAAAATCCACTATTGCATTGGGCTCTTCAGTTCATTTGGCAAAAAGAGTCTCCCCTTCCACCCCTCAGCGCTGCACCTCACCTCTGACGCGGTGAGCCAGGCAGTGGAGCGGGAGGCAGCACGGAGGGACGTCGCAGGAAGGCGAGCAAGGGGATGCCCCTTCCCCCTGTGCCTCCATCCTCCACTGGCACCAACCCTGGCTCCAGGCAGGGGCAGTCACCATGCTGCAGGCGCGGCACGCTCTGCGCTACCTTGGTGAGCTTTTCGGGGTGCCATCTCTGGCACTGAGCCTTCAGTGGTGCCACGGGGCTACTTGTTGGCCCTGGGTGAGGTATGCAGGCTGCTGTGGTTCAGAAGAGAGGCTCATGGCATGTCACGCTGCAGCGCTGTAGGTTACAGGGCCGTAGGCAGCACACCCTCCTCTCCCACTGGGGCTATCCCTTTTTTCAACAGAGAGTCAACATCTGCTGAATCAACAGAGATAGACCAGTGCTCAGCATGCTTAAGACTGAAATTCAGATCCCTGTTCCAAACCAGATACAGCAGAAGCTTGACTCTGCGTGTCCTACATCCCAAATGTATGTTTTAATTACTGGGGTATGAGCTCCTTGGAGGACAGAAGATGGGTGATGAAGCAGTTTCCTCTTTATGAGCAGGAATTCAATCTTGGATTCAAGAAATCTTTCCTGTTAAAACTGATTGAATTACTGCCACCAAAAGTTTTGGTCAAATAACTGCTTTGGGTTGGAAGGGACCTTTAGAGGCCATCTAGCCCAACCCCCCTGCAGGGAGCAGGGTCAGCTTTAACCAGATCAGGTTGCTCAGAGCCCCGTCCAACCTGACCTTGAATGTTGCCAGGGATGGGGCCTCCACTACCTCTCTGGGCAAGCTGTTCCAGTGCTTCACCACCCTCATTGTAAGAAATTTCTTTCTTATGTCTAGTCTAAATCTATTCTTCTTTAGTTTAGTTTATTTTCTTTTAGTTTTATTTGCCTTCCTGAAGTTTCTTGCCTCATACGTTGTACAAGTTTCATAGCAAGCAAAGCAGCAATTCACTGAGCAATTCCAATTCCCCAATATTAGTCTGTACATTTTTCAAAAAAAAACAAGGCAGAGGACTGGTTTAAAAATAGTCTGCAAATACATAACCAAAGACTGAATCACAGCAAACATAACCTAAAGGTACTAAGAGTTGCACAGTTAACCTTCTTACTATTACTTCCTAACCTTTATTTTGCACAGCTTGAGTTCATAAACCTAATAATATTCTTTTAATAGCATTTTTTGTTGACTTGTAGCAAATTCATCACACAAACAGAAAATAAAAATTCCCCTGTATGGTGTGATATTGCCACTCACCTTGCTACTTGAGCCAACTAAGTACTCACAGCAGTGGTATGTTGTCATCTTCTTTGTGAACCACAGCCAGAAGAGGCCACCTACCAGCAGGCTACAATGGTATTTTCTGATTCTGACTCTATTTCTGCCTCGAGGTACATGCGGGCAAACAAGGGAACAGGCTGTAACACTTGTGTTTTCTTTCTTTTGCCCTTGCACAGGGGTTTTCCCATCACCTTACAAAAGCAATTCCCTTTTCTGACTCCAGGTTGTTTTATCCCATCTCAGTTTTCCTCCCAGCTCACTGCTACCACAACATTTCCCTCCCTGACTTCCTTCCTGGCTGGTTTTTGTCCTCCCATGGTTTACCCTGTGTCTGGAGCACAGACCCTGCGGGTACTTCACTTCAACTATCCCAGCTCCTCCTCCATAACTCCAGCCTCTTCCATAATGGATTTTCACTACTTGCCTTTCTCCCTCAGCCCAGCCACCTGCTCCTCCAGTTGAATGTCTTTCAAGTAAATAACTTTTTACTCCATACTCCATGCTGCACAGCAAAGGGGGACTGAAAGCTGAAAGATGAGCACCTTCCCACTTTAGTTCTGTTGGGCTGCCCTGATCCAGTCTGCTGGGGGCAGATTCTGCTCAGCATCACTGCTGGACCTTGCCCAGGGAGAGCTGAGTCTTTAAGCAATTCAGGTGCAAAGCTTGGCATGTGTTAATGGCAGCTTCTAATAATTTGGTCAAGTTTTCTCATTATTATCATAAAAAATGCCCAGAAACACATAACTCAAATACTGTTCAATTCACTACCAAATTCAAAACCCTGCTAGATTATTAGAAGTATGGGAGTATTACAGCTTCTGAAAGAAAAGGTTTTGAGAATATTTTAACATAGGTAAGATTAATTTTTGCCCTAGCTTCATTGTTAAAATGACCTAGTTGCTCTAACTAACATTTTCGAAGGGAATTCAAAATGATTTTATAAATCAGTTAATATTTAGAACAATTATAAGCAACTGAAAACCTGATATGTAGCAGGAAATCTTAGGTAATAATAATAGGCCTGTTACATAAACAAGAGAGACATATCTATCTATCCACATATTTACATATATACATAATCACTGTCATCTGTTGGGTGTCTCCACCTAAGGTTCTGTCAGAACTTCCATTTTAAATACCTCTATCAAAAGAATACCTTGACCCAAAGAAAAGATGTTGATGTTCTTAAGGGTAAGGTTACCATGAGATAAAGGTATACATGATTGGGCTGCATCTATTTTTTACAGATTTTTTTTTTCCTGTATAAATTTTTGTGATAGCTCTTTTATGTATATGAAAATATTTTAGCATGAGGAATAAATTATATACTTTTTACTGCTGCATATATTTGTGCAGCATTGCACAAAATTGCACATGCTTTGATGTTCAGGTTGGGAAATAATCACCATGGTTCTGTTTCTTCCACGAGTGGGTGACCTCCATCTTTATTACCAATTTTCAGTTCTATTCAAAACAAGTGACACTTTATCTTTTCATTAGATTATTAAATAGACTTTGGTGACAAGACTGAAATTCACATATTCTTGTGCGTAAAGATATTATTTATGTTGTTGCAGTACATCGAATTTTGATACTTGAAAACACTTAAATTAAAGACATACTTGGAAGCTATCAGACTACTTGCAAGTAAAGATTCACAGCCTCCACATAGCTGAAAGCAAGGGTTTTAAGAAGCAAATTTTCAAGAAAGGGAAGTCAAACTTTTTAAGGCAGAGAAGCTCATTCTAAGAAGGACGGCTTAGGCAAATATTAAATACTCAAGGTACAGGTGTACTCAGAAATTTTGTTAAAAAACTGATAAAGAACCCATTTAGTACTATGAATGAGACTCTTTTCCTGTTCAACAAATTTTACAAGATTTCAAGATACAATGCTGTGTTGATTTCAAAGATCATAGAATGCTTTGGGTTGGAAGGGACCTTGGGAAACCAAGCTCTCTCAAAGGCTACTAAGAGAAATCTGCAGCCTGGTAAAGACAGAGACTTGGCTAGAGCATTCACCTGTGATCTAGGACATTGGAATTCAAGTTCCTCCTTTTTTGTATTTGAGCAGGGACTTGAACCCGAGTGTCCCATATCTCAGCTGAGCGCCCTAACACGAGTACATAGTCTCCTGGTAGGGTTCCTCTCAGCTACCTCCAGGTGTCCCTGCACCAGGAATGAGCCAGCTGCAGCAGCAGAGTCTCAGATATAATACACCTCGGGCTAGAGGAAAGGCTGAGGTCGGTCCACATGAGCTGAGGCTCCAAAGCGACCACCTTCTCCTGTTTACTCTTAAGGACACCTTGGGATGACAAGCTACAGTGTAGCCGCCTGTACTGTATGTAGATGGTGACATTTAGTTGCATCTTCCTAGCTAAGCATGTTTTTCTTTCTGGCTAATAAAATGTTTAATTACCTGTATAACTGGACAAGCCTGGGTACAAAAAGACTCATGTAAGATGACAGATGCGTATCCTACAAACCTAGCTATATATATGACATTTTCCATCTTTCATTTTTTGATATTACATTCAGAAAATGTGTACTTCAATTTTTTTTTTTTCAGGTCTAATATGAGTAGCTATCACTACTAGTAATTTTATCAAAGACAATGCATTATATCAATAATAGCCATATAAATTCAGGTATTCTAAACCCATCACTTGTATTTAACCAGAATAACATCTCTTCAGATTTTATTTACCTTATGGGTGGCTACTTCTCCCCACTGAAGCAAAAAGCAAAACATGAAAACTGAACATAAGCAGAACAAACCAAAATCAGCACTATATGAAGTTTATCTGGTAGTGATTTTAAAATGATTTCTAGTGCCAGGATTTCTGAATTATGGGAATGGTGATTTTCTCACAGCAGAGAAGGCTATTTTTAGCTTACAGATATGAATTGAGAGTAGTATACTTTACAGCCAAGTTGTAGATAGCATCATTATAGGTATTAAGTACTACCTAAGTAGTAGGTACTAAGTACTTACCTAAGCTTGATCTTGTGTTAGATCGTTCTATTATCGCATGCTTACTGGGGTTGTTTAATACTGAGCGTTTGGCAAGCGAGATGTCTGCTGTGACTCGTGTAATTGAGATACTGCAAAAATAAAATACAGTAAAATAGAACAGAATATTATTTATCTTGCAGGGATGTGGGGAGAAAAGAGACTCATTTAACACTAGAAGACGACTAAGACCACAGGAAAACAAGTTCTCCTCAGCAGCGCAGTATGCTTTGCACAGTGTGAACAGAGAAGAAACTATCAAACTAATATTGATACAAGAGCTATTAAGACATCCCTCTTTCTGCACTGTACCAAAATCAAGTATGACCACTGACTGCTACGCTACACAAGTCTGGGGAGAGGGGAGGCAGGAGGAGTTCAGAGACATGCTGCAGAAGGTGGGACTTCCTTGGGGGCTCCAGGCCTGATGTGGTTAGACTTTGCACCAGTAGCCCCAGTATGAATAGGCTGGTTTCTCCTTTCCCTAATTTTGATTAATTTGTTGAAAGGTACTGAACAACAACCTGGCTTACTTTAACCATATGTGTAATACATATAGGGATATGCAGAATTAACAGGTAAAGGTAAGGCTTAGCAGGAAAACTAGTACAGCCATATAACTCTTATTTTTTATTGTTCACTATAGTTTAACTATAATTTACTAGCATATGTTTTTTAACAGAGTGCAAGAGCTACCTATAATTTTCCAGAGAGATCCAGCAACATGCTGGCCACCCAAAAATGTGGACTGCAACACAGAGAAGCAAGCAAATGAAAACTCTGGGCTGAGTATCTGGCTGGCTCAGATTTGTGTTTATAAGAAAAGATAAGCCAACAAGAAGTGGTTACTTCCAGTTGTTTGCACTGACCTGCTACGTAACCTTCTGCATATTCTTCTTCTTAGGAAAACAGTTAACTTGGTTTGCTTTGATTTACAGGGTCAAAATGCACACTTTGAATAAATTCCCTTTCAAACTCTCTGGTCTAATTAGGTTTAGGGGTCACATTTTTCCAGTGCTGAGAGTTAAATCAGACTGATGATATTCCCTTGGTTTTTGACTTTACTTGCAATTTAAAAGGAGGAAATGGATTTGCTAAGAACAGGGAGGGCTCCTCTCTAGCAGGCACAGTCAGATGCTGTTCCTCTGAAATGTAATCAAATAGGTCATTTCCCAATGAGCTCAACATGTGTATGTATTTATCTAAAACCCTATAAAATGTAACAAAGCCAGAAGTTAATACAGAAAAACAGACTTATTTGCACAATACTGATTAGTAACGTCATTTTCGAAATTTAAGCATGAGTTAACTTAAGCTAAAAACATAACCAAAGATTATGATTTCTGGCACAGCTCCTCACAGATAATGCCATTAGTCTTAAAATGAAATCCAACAAGTAATTTGGGGTACTCATTAGTTATCTTTATTTGCTAATTGATGCACACTACAAACTTTAACAGCTTTTTTTTTTTTTTCCCTTCTTTCTTTCTTTCCTGGCAGTCTTCCTTCCTACATGCAACAGAAAATAATTTTTCCCTTTTTCAAATGCAATTATGGTATATTGAATAAAGCTAGATTTATCAGTCTAAAAATGCTATTTTTCATTTTAAGATCTTTTAACAGATTAAAGATTAGATTTAAAGATCTTAGATTTTAAGATCTTTTTTAAGGTCATTTTATTGTCTTTTAAGATATGTAACACCAGGAAGAACAAGTCTGCTCTCAAAACAAAGGTATATATGTTCATATAGTGAAAAAATTGCAATAAGAGCGAGGACAGCTTGACAGCAGAGTGGCAGTGAAAGCAGTACCAGGAATCTAAGAACCTCCTGTACAAATTTGTTGAGGACCTTGAGTACCAGTTCAGATTGCTACTGAAGTTTGGGATGCTTCAAATCTGCTACTATGGATACTGTACTGAGAGTATTTGTGGATTCACCCTGCCACAGTTGGATCTACAATTGAAAATTAGATATGCTTTTAAAAACTTTAGGACATAAAGATGCAACAACTTTTTTTCTGCTTGCAACACTCACTATTTTGTTAACTTCCAATTCTGAAGATACATATCTAAGATTTGACAACCATGACTAATATAAAGAGGAAGTACTAAGTGGTTAGGTCTCAACATCCTCATTCTGACTGAGAAAATCCAACAGCTTAAACCACAATGTCCGGTATTTTAAAGAGCTGAAGCTATTGACAGAAAACCTTAAGCTCCCTCTTGAAAGTTCGACAGCACCAGGACAGATAGAATTTGAGCAGTGTTACTGCTCTGCCCACTTCCAAACTAAATAGGATATTCATTGAAGTTACAGATATTATATCAAGACCCTCCCATTTTCTCAATTTGCCCCCCCCAAAATGTCAACCCACTGGCACATATTAATCTGGGGCCTGATCCAGTAGCAATCACATGGAAAATCCAGCTGATGTCTCTGGTCCATGGGTCCCTGACATCTGAATTACAGAACATGCCACTGCTTTTAGAGATGGATTATCATTTGACGTTTGTACTACAGTAATGCCTGGAGGCTCAAATACAAATCAGATTGGACCTTGCCAAGTATGCTGTGGGGGACAGGCTGTAACAGCACTCAGATCAAAACCCAGCAAAGTGCAGCTTGTCTGCTACTAACGGTGACTATATTTTTGCAAGGTGGGGGAATGACACACCCCCCAGCAGTCCTTTTGAGACTTCCCATTATAGAGTCCAGCTAGCTAGACTATCAAAGCCAGCTCCCAGCTTGAGGGATCAAGAGTTTGGCAATCATATACATTAGACAACCTGAATCTCATCTTGCTCTTTCCAAGTTAGATGCCACTGTAAGCAACTCGAGCTGAGGTGGAACAATGGCCCCTCATCAGCTCGTATAGAACCAAGGAAGCATTGATGAGATATCACTTAAAAAATACTTAAACAAAAGATTTTTTTAATAATACACATTTATTAAATCCATAGATAAATATCTAGCAATCCAGAGTATGAATGTCAGTCACGAACAAGATGACATCCTTTTTTTCCACTCTCAACAAATACACGCTCCTGAATACTTCCCACTGCAATACAGCCTCCGTGTGCTCTGCTAAGGAAGCACGCTGGTCCACTGAACAAGGAATTAGCTGCCATTCCTCATTTTCTATGCATATTTTGCCAAGAATGTTATTATTTCTTAAAAACCTGGTAGTACCTAAACAGGACCTGAACTCAAGTAGGTTTGCATTGCAAAGTACTTACCGCCCTTCGAATCTATGTTTTAAAAAATCAAATAATGCTTTTTGCATCATATCGGTTACCTAGAAGCACACAAACAACAAATTAATAATCACATAGGAAACTCATAATACTTGATGCTAATAATAATATGTAATAAAGTTGACAGTACATCTTGTATCTGAACAATATGATTGGAATGTAAGTAATTTATTCTTAATCTGAATTCTGACGTGAAATATGTATGCAGGTATCTGGTAGAAGTAAAAGACAAAAAAAAAATTTTGTCTATGATACAAATTATGTTATTCAGCTTAACTACCTTTGAACATTCAAATACAAATGAAGCACAACATTTTTGGCAAAATGAAATTATTCACATCGATCACTTACCTCATATCCCTTCAGAGAAGGCCCCACTAAAACTACTGGTCGCATAGAAGGCACTACATCATAGGGAGGGATGTGCTCTGTCTGCAAAACAGAAAAAGCTTTCAGCATCGCAGCACCTAGAGAAAGTGCTACACATACTTACAATATTAGTTAACGCTGAATTTCCAGTGATGTCACCAACACAGGAATCATGGATTCATTAACTTTTCCCAAAAACTGGTAGCACCAGATAAGGCCATAACAGGTTCAGGGATTTCTTTTGACAAAGCTTTTCTTTGACTTTTGGTTTTCTTGCTGTTTTCATATTTGCTCTGGATAGCTACAAAACTGTTATTCTGGAGACATTCACATGTTCCACTCCACAATTCCTAACTAGTTAATTGAAAAGGTTACTTCCAATAGTGAATGGTTTGAAATTATTGACTCCAGAGCTGTGACATCTGTTTCCCACCAAAATTTTATGTAGGCAAGTTATGAAGGAGAAAAATAAAACAAAAAGGGAGGGGAAAAGCATAACACATCTCTTTTTACATCCAGATCTGCCCACTGTTTGACAAAACATTGTGACATCACTGAAAATTCCCATGGGAGTACTCATAGTCTGACTTCCACATTTGCATCCGCAATTCACTTGCAAATGAAATCAAAATAATGACTGATCAAGTTAGTATTTATAAAAATTTTCATAAACAGAACTTGGGATAGCAATCCTTCCACTTTGGGAAGTTCCTGTCACCACCCAAGAATGGATTCTGTTAGTACAATGTTCACCAAACTACTGATGTATCATGCACATTTTATAAAAAGGATTTTAAAATACAAAGATAAAAAGATTGCCAGCTTCCAAGGATTGCAAACATTTTTATATTGTTATCAAAATAAAATATAAATGAGTTAAACAGGTTTTTTTTCTTTTATAAATGGCTATTCAAAATATATCACCAAGAATGAGTCTTATCAGAAAGAGTTTTTTGTTTGTAAGGGAGGGTTCGGTTTATCTTTGTCTTGGGAAAAAAATGATTGAAATCCAAACCCAGGAACATGTGGGTGATACGGAAAAAGGTATGCCAGATCAATTTTTCAGATGCCTACATAGTACCAATACATCAGTCAAGATCACAGAATACAGTTGTTGTTTGTTTTTTCAGTACTCAATGCATCCCAAGGTGTTTCACAATAACATTAAAGTAAGTATATACATTCCAAAACACAAAAACACAAAGACAGACATTAATACAGTGACAACACAAAATGCTACACAAGCAGCAGTCTAAAGCAGTCTAAAACATGGAAAACATTTTTGTGAATGTTTTTCAATATAATTTCTCTTAGTTTTTGTTACCTGTAGCTTCACCAGATAATTAGTAACATAAGAATGAATACTAGTGCCCAAGGCATCACAAGCATGTGAAATGAATTTATTTTACACAGTGCAGAATCTGACTCAACACATTTCAAAGCAAATCCCTGCAGTGATGCTGTGCCAGTATCAAAATGCAGCCCTCCACTGTTCTTGCTAATATTACTAATAATCCGATAAGTATATTAGAGACAGTTCCTAAGAAAAATTCATTACAGATGTGTAAGTGCTTATAGCATAAGTGTCTTGATGCAAGAGATCTTTGTCTTAATGTGCCTGACTCAACCAAAAGGTATTCATGCTAGAAGTTAACCAGCTATTTGAAAATTAGGGAAAGCACAGAAATTACCTTATTTGATGGAATATGGGGTATTTTTAGAATCTGTTCTGTGGAAACAGGCTTTTTTTTTTTTTTTCTCTCTCTCTAATCTTTACAGCTTCAAGTAATGAAGCTGTCAGCGGAACATTGAGTAAAAGTTACCTAATGGAAGCATTAAAGTTCTTTAATTTAGAGAATCTAATGTTTTCTAAGGGACTGGCACTGAGCCATACAGCTTTCACTTGCAGATTCAAGTTCTAATATGAACTCGGAATAAAAACTAGCATAGTTACAAATGTTACAAAACTTACTATAACCAGTAATGATTCTGATATGGAAGAAAAGAGGCACCACAGAATAAAGAGAGAGATGGGACTAGCCACCATCCAGGTCCAAGGTGGTTCACCTAGAAGCTGCATCTTCAAAAGATGCTTATGCAGACAGCATCTAATACATGTCAACACGTATTATTATTTCTTAGCATTTATACTTGGTTATAAATGTGATTAAATAAGAAATTACTCAGAAGCAAGAAACTGTTGTTGATTTCCATAGGGGGCTGCAAATGGCACAGTACTTAACGGAACCTACTGAAGCAAATACTGGTGACTTTGGAAATGAGAAGGATCCAATATTATTTAAAAGAGTTCAAAAAGAAAAGAGAGAGAGAAAAAAAAGTTTTATTTACTAAACATGACAGCATCTACAGCAATGGCAAGAGTGTCACTTGGCACTGTTTATAAGAGCTATAACAGTCTGTTGTTACCTGTAGATTTGAGTGGTTAAAAACAAATGCGTAAGAGCCATGAAGACTAAGATTTAAAACCAAAAAAGTAGAAAAGTGGTATTTCACTGCAAGGTTTGGCTACCTAATGTCTTGATAACTTACTCCAGCAAAGATCCTAGAAACATACTGCAGTTTGCTGTAACAGGATGCCAATTGCATAATTCTGCAGTTATCTGGGTTATCTACGGAGAGACATTGGCTCTCCTGGGAACCACCAGTACCACTTCCAATAGCTGAGATACTAAGAAAGTCTGACTGATGGATGGCAAGAACATTTGGCCGATAATTTATACATGACAACAGGAAAAACACAAAGTAAACCTTCAAAACAAGTCTGTGGTTTTCCACGGGTCTTGTTCACCTACAGATTTTGCACCTAGTGAATTAGAAGTTTAAATACTAAGCTAAAAATACAACGGCTTGACTATTTGTTTTCTAAGTACAATCTGAGTATCTGATTAGATTCCAATAATGATTTCAATAGACTGCGTTATAAAGAAAAAAAAAAACTTGAGAAAGATAGAGATAGAAAGAATAAGCATGCACTCGAGAGGTGCATTATGTGGATTTGTTAGAAATAAATTTCTCAAACTTTTAGACGGCCTTCTAAGTGTGTCCTGTCATTCCATCAAAAAGGAAAAGTACTGTAGCAGAGTTTCACAGATGCACCGAACTTGGGACTGTTTGTTTTCTTGTACTGAATCCACTAACAGCTCGATACATTTCTTCCTTAATTCTAGAATAGCTGCACTGTTAGTCTGGGGTAACAATGCTAATGATGCCAGTGGCAGGATAAACACAGGTAATGTCAATATAAACTTACCGATTTCTGCTTCTGCTTAGCTACAGCAGCATGGAAAAGAAACAAAGAACAACAAAGCATGCATGTTATTGGCTTGTCAAAGGACGCAGACAGTTAACAGGACTAGAAATGTGACGCAGTGCAGGTGAGCAGGTGGACAGATGGGAGCTTGGAAGTCGGTGTTACCTTCTTAAAGAAGGGCATTCTTTTCTCTTTGGAGTGGGGTGATGTTACACTGTTTGCACTGGGTTTGGGGGAGCGATGGTTTGCTGGAATATCATTTTCTTCTGCATCTAAGCCAGTGGCATCTATGTCTATAGCTATATACAGACAAACAATTCAGAATTATCAGATGACAGGGAAAGTAAAGATAGGTTAAAAAGGAAATAACAGGTAAAGAAAAATAAAACTGTCCAGAGTAATAAATAAATAAATATTAAAAAATCGACCATGAGTACAAAACACAATAAAACAAAGGGAAAAATTTAGAGGTGCAGTACAATAGGATTAGAAGACAGAAGGCAATCTGTAACAGCTACTATAACGTTTTCCTCTGATCCCCTTTTACATAGCTATATCAAACATACACAGAATTACTCTTACGAAACAGAGCAATGGCCAAGTTCTTTCTTGTTACACCAGTGTAAATCCAAACTAGTTCACTGGAATAGATAAGACTTTCACTGATGTAAACAACAGAACTTGACCAACAACACCTGAATTATTTTATAGCAATGAACACTAATTCAAAATGGGTATCATCAATTCAAATTTGAAATGTCACTAACATGTCTATAGGAAATTAAGAAACAGAAGAAAAATCATGTTTGAAGACAAAATCAGCCTGATACTGGTACAATAATAACTACATTTATCTCAGGGTGGACTACAACTGGCATTTTTAACCATTTTAACTAAAAAAGCACAGTAGTCATAAGATATATTTATTAGAAATAATAAAACCAGACCTACTAATAGTGAAAACTAAAAAGAATGGGTAGCAGAAGAGAGGAAATCAATCCCAGCTTGTCTTGGAGACCTGGATCCTAATGTAAAAAGTGAGGATGTAGGCAGGGGAAAATGGAAGTGAATACAATAAACCACTGCTGTTCAACCTTTACCCCAAAAGAACATACAGCACACAACACTTATACCATACATATAAAATATTTACCCTCTTTAGCAAGTAAGTAAAAACGGTTTAAGCAAAAATCATCATGGACTCAGAAATAAATGCATTTTCAAAATGCACAGCTATGTTATCCTGAATGCTGAGTCCAACAGATACCTGCTAACTACATCTGAAACAAAACAAAACCAACAAAAAAAAAAAAAATCTTTCTTGTTTACAGTGCTCAATCCTGATCTTAAGTAGTGTATTAAATTTGTCTTCAGAAAGCAAGTACATGCACAAAAGCAATCCACAAAGATGCTGTACAGCATCACCCTTGCATGTAAAGATCTTACCCACCTCGACACACACTCGTAACACCTGCTTACCTTGCCACTGCATTATGTTAAACTGAATCTAACTCTAAATAGATCTGTAAGCAGTACCATTTGCATCGACTTAATCCAAACCCATATTTAATCATTGCAAACTATTATGAAACCACCTTAGTGACCTGCTTTCAGCTGCTTGATGAGCAGGACATCAACTAATACAGCGGCATGTGCTATTAAATTATGCACCAAATAAATATTTCTGTCAAGCCTATGTGCAGCTACTGATTTAAAATACACTTGGGACAGTGATCTCTTCTGTTTGAGTAAATTATATTTTCCCATTTGAATTATCCACAGATCTAATGCCATGATGCCTGACAATCCTTGAGTTACAGAACTGTGCCTTTGAGGCTGCCCTTGCCAGGAAAGCCTGTGAGTAGATCTGCACCCTGTTTCTATACTCCTGAGCCTAAAAACAGCCACAGAAATCACGTAACATTTTCTTCATTTTCTTCTAGCAACACTGTTCCTTCATCCTCTTCATAAGTATAAAAAGAACACATTATCTTTGTCTTGAATACAGGCCAGCACAGATGCTATAAATCACTCATAATAAGGCATATTAAAACTCCTTCAGTTCTATGTTCAACTGAAACCATCAGTAAAGAAAAATCAGGGTTGTTAGGTTTTTCCTTTAAAAAAGAAATGCAACATTTTATCAGCTAGATATCAGTATCTCCTTTTTTCATTCTCAGTCTTCACACTATGTAACATCTTCTGTGTTAGTTCTTTTACTGTTAATAATCTTTAGTTGACTGGGGTTTTTTTCACTCATTTTCACCATTATCCTCATCCTGTTCGGTGGTCCATGGATTACTATATCAATGTAATATTGATTATTTAAATGTCTATGAGCCTCCTTTTCATTTGTTTTTCACTGGTTCTTCATCTTGTTTCGTTTGGTTTTGTGGCACTAGTTTATATTGAAAAAAAAATCCCCAACTCAAAGAAAAAAAATGAAGTTAACTTATTCAGCGACAATCTCTTCAACTCATTAAATAATTTATGTATTTGTCATTTATTATACTTTCAAAAGGAGGAGGCCTGGGAATAATAATTGAACTGTATTTCAAAGTCCCTTGAGTTCTGTTAGTCACAAACTATGTCTCTTTCACCCTTCTTGGGATGTCTTCAGGTAAGCAAAAATAAATACTGCAGATCGAAAAATCTTAAAACCACAGAATAACCTAATGTGCACTATTCATAAATATTCTCCAAACCTTCAGTGTAATTAAATAAATTTAACCAGATTTCCTTCTTTCTCTAGAAAAACAGGTTTCTGAAAACTACTGTCTGAAGAAATGACTCAATGCAATGAAAACTACATCATTGCTAGCAAGCAGTCAGTTGCTAACCAAAGTAGGCTGTCCATTCTCTTACCTCTAAATTCTGTGCAATGTTCTGAAAATTTCACATGTTCTGCTGTCCAAGTGTTTTTAGGGTACAAAAAAAAATTATAGCATTTCAGATGCTCTAACTATAAAATTACAACACAGATCCATGGACACTTTCTACCGCAAAAATGCAGTTGTTGAAAAAGTGGGCCTCAACAGTAAACATGACGGTTTAAAGCCATCGTAAAATAAATGATTAAGGTGTGTTCTACAGACTTGTGACAGACGCATATTAGTAAACTAAAGATATATATTTTAAAAAAAGGGAGGTAGTGAACTTAAGTGGAATTTTTATAAGCAAGCTGCAATTGTAATAAAGTTGGTTGTTACAAACAAATTAATGGTTTCACAAGACAGGCAGATATATTTTTCAAGTAATATAATCAAATGAAGCTACTACTGTAACTTGATTGAATTCCTCTGTCTCTCTCTCTTAATGTGCATGTAAATACTTTACAATCTTCAGGATCATTTTAAGATGCCTGCTTTGTAGACCAGGCTCCATATAAACTAATATGATTGGAAAATGCGTGGCCTTGCCTCAGTAGAGAAGGCAGTAGCAACATTCATTAATACTTTCTGATTTCGCATATTCAAAATGTACGTCTTCTCTCTCAGGAGAACATAAAACATCCAGCAATGCAGCAGCTGAATTTTGTAGAATTTTTTTTTTTTTTGTAATCTTCTGCTATGCTTTTTTCAAGGAGCGAATGCCAGTTTCCTCCAGCAACTCACCATGTATTTGCTTCAAACATCTTGAATCCAACCTAACTAAAGTTAAATCTGTGTCTTGATGCTCTAAATAGAAAACAGTATTCGTGAAAAATGTCACAAAAGGCAAAAAACACCCATTATACTAGAATTAGGTGAAGCACGCCCTCATTATCAGAATTGCGAAACTGAAAGTTCCTGTTATAAAATAATGCCATTCTTGATGCTACTGCAGAAAGCTCTTGGGAATTTTTATTCTTATTGCTGCTTTTTGTCCTGTACCAGAGGGTATTTCTTGTTCCACAGGAGTGCTCAGACCAGACCAAACCTCTAACTATCCTACTGCAATGCAGTCTCGTCATTGTATTACGTTTTTGCTATAAAACACTGTGGTAAAAACAAAGAGGGAATTTTGTGGATTGTTAACAGCCCTACCATTGCCTGAACTTGCTGGCATTGACTCCATTACTTCAAATCTACCTAAAGCAGCCCTATAGGGCAACACAACCACCCAACCTTATACCTATGAAGTACAGGGAATAAGAAAAATAGGACTAAATGTATAGAAATTTTAACAGATTAGGTGCATGAGTCCGTAAACCAAAGGGTTCGTGACCTACTCACCAGATGATGGAGGCGTTGATTTTCTGGAACTAGGAACGATGTCACCCAAACTGGATGAAGAGTTTCCTCCTGATTTACTGGAGTAAAGCAACAAATTAGTTTACCGTTCCATAGCTTTCTCAGTATTTATTCTAGTTTATTTATTACCTGCCTTCTAAACGACCTGCTTGCTGAGAGACAAACAGTATTTCTGGCAGTGGTATAAAATATACATCTTACACAAAAATGTGTGTACATTTTGAGGACTGAGGAACTGCAGACATTAATCGTGCTCCTTGTTCTGCTGTGCAACTTCATCCTGCTGCTTGCGCTCTCACTACCTCATGATCTTAATGTAATCCAATTATTAACATGGCTACTGATATATAATTATTAATATTACTACTCATTACTAAGACTAATTCTTAAGCCAGTGAGCATATCTGTTTCCTTTAACAGAAGAGTCATTGATAGCTCCCTAGTGAAACTGATAGTGTGTTTGCCTAACATCTTTTCAATTTAATTAAAGTACAAATTCTTTTGCTGTCTCAATACCTGGTAACACTTAGGAAGAAAAGTCTGTGAACGAAGATAAAGCAGTCTAAGGTTTTGTCGTCAAGTTCTGCTTTGTGAAAACCTATCCAAGTTGTGAAAATGAAACAATATTTTTAGTCATTTTGTTTCAGTTACCATAATGAGAAAAGCACTGAAAAGAATGCAAGAAAGGCTTTTTCACTCTTCAAATAATTCATGTGACAGTACTAGTTTCTAGTTTCTCCATCTTAAAATATTAACAAGTACTAAGGAAATGCATTTGTGGTGTAGGACAGTGTTATCTCCAGTGAGCAGTTCAGGAGAATGGATGCCTTTACAATTTGGAAAGGGAGCGAATCACTGGGTCAGATTTGGCTGTATCAGAAGTGTCACGAGAGGAATAAGGAACTTGACCTCCTCCTGCTGAGGACAACACACTCATAGAAAGGCATTTCACAGCTGGTGAATGCAGCTGAGCCCTGCAGCATCTTGGTCTCTTCCTAGCATAGACACACTCTTCAAACCCTGCTGCCCTTCCTATTGGAGTAAGAAAGCTTTTCTGGCTTCCCAAATGTTTCCCAGATGTTCTCTCAATTCCAGCTCCATCCCACTCAGACATACTAGAAATATTTGTTTCCTATACACCCAAAGGGAAGCAATGGCATTTGTTTCCACATGTGTTAATGTTTACTGGAAAACTACTTTATTAAGAATTTTACAGTAAAGATGACATTATTACAATCTAGCAGTATTGTTCAATACATCTAGATACTGAATCTTTATTTTTATGTAATGATGGCTGCAGTCAGAGACAACAAGTGGCTTGACATGAAACTTCCATCGTAAAATGCAGTATTCTTAAAAGCTGTATTTGTACGCGATGAGTTTGACAAGATCAAAACATTTTTTCCTTAAGAGCTAACTAGCAGGCACTGGCTTCAGCTTACAAATAAATTCATCTTAACATTCTCTGTCATATCTAAAATCAGCTTTAGAAGTGTTTAGAAATTGCAAGATCACAAAAACAAGTAATAAATGCTAAAGAATTTAGGGAGATCGATTCTTAAGTCAAAAATTGTGCTTGCACATAGTAAATGTACTAACTGCAATGTATATTTGCAAGTATTTTATGAAAATAAAATAGAATAAAAGCCATTGTAGGCCACCACAGACCACCAATCTAAATATCTACTTTTTTTCTCAAATGGCAATGACATTAATTATATAAATAAATATCTCTTCCTTCACTGATTCAAAATGTTTGTAGCTGCCAATTACAGTAATTAAACAGAACTATAACATACACAGCATTAACTTCCAGGTTGTGTCACAGTCAATGCTACTATTTTTTAATGATTTGTTGTTATTACCTGGAGTAGAATTTTCCTTGTTTTGCCTTTTGTTCATGCTGCAGCCTCATGTTTTCTAGTTTGACTGGGCTTGGTATGAATCCTATTTCACAGCCTTCTTTTACCAACCGTCCTATCCACCAGTCATTATTAAATTTCTACAGAGTAAAAAAAAAAAAAAAAAAGCAGTCATGTACCAAGAAATTACTGTGTTTGGGATCATTTTTTTATTATTTTTAATTTGCAGCTAAGCCATCTGATGTAATTCTTCCCTACGGTTAATCACTGTAGTATGTCATTATGGCAATGAAGAATTGTGGTATTATTCAGAAATACATTAAAATAATTATACCTTGCAAATTATTAAAATGCTATAGTACTTAAGCAGAAACCTTCCTTCATAGGCTTCATGATTCTCCCTGGCTGTTATTTCCACCTATTTCACCATCTTTATCTTTTTCTGCTTCACAGTCTTTTCTCCTCATACATGAGAGCTGCTTTTGTTCTCCCTTGATGCTTCTCCTTGGTGGACACCAGAGATTTCTTCTGATCTGCTCCTACCCACTGCAACAATTTTTAAAGCTCTGTAATAATCCATTTTTCTTATTCCATTATATTCTGTTCTCTATTTAACATAAAAAACACTACTTCTCAAACTCCCCTGCTTCTCTGAACTCACTAAAATCTTCTGAACTATGACTACATTCCCCTGCTTATATGTGCTCTACTGCATACAGCTCATGTGATCTGCACCTTAAACATACAGCAATAGATCCATGAGAAATGGATATCTTTGGATAACTAAAAAACCTTACAATTCCACAAATACACAAGATCATCCAATTAACTGAATTTCAGCTATATGAAATATGAGATAATGACTACTCTAATAATATTTATTCATACGCACAAAGGGGTTTTGTTTGTTTTGCAGAGGTCTGTAGAGCAGAACTATTTGCTTTTTCCTTTACTATTTATTTACCATTTTTGGATGAGAATAGGTCACCGTTATGTATGGCCTCACATGCAATACTCTAGGAGTTCCAGGGGAATAAATACAATCAAATATGAATTTTGGATAATTTGGATTATTTATGAAACTCTAAGAGAACATCTGAATGGGAAGATAAGTTGCCTTCTTGAATCTGAAGCTATGAATGTAGATATTATAGTGCATGTTTAATTATTTAATAAGTAGTTTTAACAAGTGTACAGTTAGGAGTAAAACATGTAAAATGTGTGGGCTCCCATAAAAAGAAATTAATTTCACTGAGAATACAACATTGGTAGTTCAACGATACACAACCTAAATTGCAGTATTACCTTTCATTTTGGCTACTATATGAATGTTGTGATGCTTGAAATGAACTTTAAGATATTTAGCTAACAGAAAATAAAGATTAAAATAAATGCACTTTTAAGCTCATAAAATATAAGGGGATCTATAACATTCATCTAATGGGATGCCTTTATGAGTAAGAACACCAACATTTAATAGGGAGATAATCTGGAATAGCAGTTTCTCAAAGCTGTATTAGACTGAAACATATTATTAAAATCATAACCTTTCATTGCAAAAGGCTAAATAAAGATACATGTGTGCATTTAAAATATATTGTAGGATAATATAGGTAGAGGAAGACTATAGCATTGAGCCAATGGAGGTTGCCATTATATGGATCTGCTCTATGGTATCCATGAAGTCTGCAGAAGTAGTATCATTAACTTGGTAAAAGGAAGAGATAGATACTTAAAAAACACTATTAAATTAAAATCTGAACAGCCACTACTTTTTTATATTGTCCTGTAGTACAACAAACTACTATGCAACAACATTAATTTTATTCTAATTGATAGAAATGCTAAATCCATAGGGATTTTTTCTTCATACAAAAATAAAAGCATCTGGAACTCACTCACGCAAAGTCTCAAAGTTCAACTCAAAGTTGTGCTGTGAGGAAAAAAGCACAAATTATAACAGAAAATCTGCTAGCACTGTGTTTCTGGTTCATACAGAAACAGGTGAAAGGCTTGATGTGAAGTCTGAGATTACCAGCTTGTTCAAAATGCAGATGGAATAGACGACCATACAAAATAATTTAATCTAACCAAACTGAGCCGTATTTTCCAGGGCTTCCAGACTCACCAGAGAATGTTGGTGGTTTTCCATTGCCAGGACTCTGTGCCTGCTCAGCCCTACTTTTGTCACAAGACAGAGCAGAGCAATTCTTTTGCACTATCATCAGACAGAAAACATATTTTCTTCACTATGCACATTTTGATGCAAAATTATACTTTTTTTTTTTGGTGTTTCAGGTAAAATTATGATTATTAGTCATCAGTATAAAGGCACTAAAAGTCCACTTCTTGTGCTTCCTTAGTCTCTGTCCACCTGTATTTCCACCTGTGCATTAGGAATGTTTCTTGCTTCCACAAAGCACCTGCACTAGCAGAATCATTGTGCATCATCAATCGTAATTATGGAAGGAATTTTCAATAACCTAAAATGGGGCAAAGATAATTTCAAATGCATGGCTACGTTACTCTCATCCTTACGCTAACTTTCTAGTTCTGCTATGAATTTCCATTTCCAGATGGACTGTTTTGTGACAAAACACAATGGAATATGACCAGAAGCTGGGAAATCTCGTAAAATGAGGGAACCATTCAGAAGGGAGCAGCGGGCTGCTAAGGAAGGCCTGTATGGGAAAGTTACCAAGTTATTTGCTTTGGACTGTCTTGCAAGGGCAGAGAAAGAACAAGAATTTAGGTGTTTGAAACTGTAAACCTTGAAAATTTTCAAAGCAAAACTACAGGAAAAGAAAACCAATGCAGCAAACACGAAGCGCTTTTTTTGACAGTTGCTATGTGCATCTTGAAACTTACCACGTCAGTTCTTCAGTATGTAACTGTTAATAACAAAATATTGTCTGTGCCCGGGAACTAACTTCAGTGAAATAAAAGGAGACCTAGGGATTTTGGGCTTTTCTGAGATTAAGTCACACAAATAAGAGAATCAACCCTTGGCTGCTAAATCACAATGAAACTTCAGAGTGCTTGAATGGTAAACCCCACAGATATAATATCTTTGAATATGCAGATAGAGATTTTTAATGCTCAAAATAAGCGATAGTTACTAGAGAAGAAAAGCACTTGCTTTCCAATTTCATTAATTTGACTGTAAGGAATTTGTGCTATTGCTTTTATGAGAATAGTATTTCAAAGAACATTCAATTGCTTATATATAGTTATTTATATAACATTTGTATAGTACTTTGACAATGTGAAGCATTATCTTAATGTTAAGAAATAGCAGCACTATTACTCAAATAGACCCTTAAAGTGAGATTCATTTACTCCGTTAGTTTTACTTACTTCTTTAACATGAAGAAAATCTTTAGCCTCAAATGAGATGGCCATGCCTGGGACTGGAACATCGTCATCGTGAGCTGCACTGTACCCAACATTTGTCCGAACTGCAAATGCAACAGGTTTTGTCTGCAAAACGAAAGATTAACAGCATGAAGATTGCCCTCGCAAACATGTGCATATGTACAAACACACACACAGCAAGGATGATTTCTCTAATTATCTTCTTTAAATCATAACAATTACAAAGAGCACTCGAAACATCCACGTAAAACATTATGAAGCACCATGCTTAGTAACCTCAGTTACTTAAGGTACACACATTTCATAGAATACAAGATTTTTATCTAGCTACTAGTGGTCTGAATTAATTTGGGATAAGTCAAATCAGTAATCATAAACCAGCTGGCAATCCATATACTATGCCCAGTTATGATGGCATTGCACAGCAGACCTTCGTTTGGCTAAGACTTATTAGAGAGTTTAAACCACAGTTCTGTACTGAGGTGGTCACGCCTCACACTTGTGTTGCAGTATTTTTAAGAGGTGTGCTTGAATTTGCATGGAGTGTTTTACCAGGCTTTCATGGCAATTACTGGGCCTCTGTCAAATTCAGAAAGGAATGACAACAAGGGAATCAGATTTCAGGTCACTAGTACTTGAAGTTTAAATTGGACTGGTTTACTATGCTTTGCTAATAAACAAAGAGATATAATATAAATTTGTATAATAATGAGAATTTAAGTATACCATTTCAAAGTAAAAGTCATGAAATTCAAACATGGGATAATGGCCAAATCCATTGTAATTTGACTCCACTGCCTATGGAAGGAAGAATTGTAAGAATGAGGCACTATTTTAGGCATTCATATTCAAACCTAAGATCTCAACATTGGCACTAAGCAGTTACCTAACCCTGGATGGGCATAAAAATCAAGTACACCCTCTTTGGCTGAGCTGAAAGTCCCTATGCACTTGCAGTTCTGCTGCCATGGTTGCTTACTGCTACAAAGGGGCGCATGCCAGCCCCCACCTAGTCTTCAGGGAAATTACAAATTAGGAGCAGCGGTGCCGGCGGCTGCCCGTGACCCCTGAGCAAAACACCTCACTGCAGAGCCATTCTGAGAGTGTGGTGGTGTGCCCTCACATCATCAGGTTGTTACCAAATGCTAGCCAAAGAGAGATTTGCTGGTTCCCACAATTCATTCTATAACCTATACCGGTAGTTGGTATCAGTGAGTTACAGGATTTTCACAAGTTTTATTTTCAAGAAGCAGTTGCGGGAAGAGCCAGTGGCCCCTGTGGTCCCACAGCCGCCCTTCAGCCTCCTGCACAGCTTCTCCTTCCAAGCCCCGCCGGTGCTGAACACCCTTCTGCACAGATACGGTTAAGCAGGTAGTAAAAGCTGCCATCCACCTCAGCCCAGCCTATAGCTATAGAGGACTTCCTTTTCTCAGAGGTACAACCAGAATACAGGAAAACAACCTTTATTCTGGTTTATTCTATGCCAAACACCACCTTGAGCTTGCTCTCCCGACAGAGAATACCACACAGTATCCCTGGGACCCACCGTTGTCCTACCCCAGGCTAAACTTTTAGCCCACCCCAAAATCCTCCACGCTGCTCTTATGATCTAGCCTGAAGTCCATATACATTACGGCTGGTAAAATATTTTTAAAGACGTGAACTCAGTCTCAGAGGTGCTCAGAAGAGATTGAGCAAGGCGTGACATAACTTTTCATTTTAAAATATACTAAAACTTCTACCAGACAACAGTTTCAGCTTTAGTAGTTGGTCTCCATCATCACTTCAGCTTGGCTAAAAATATGGTATTTTGCTGCGATGACAAGCAAAAAAACCGTATCTCATTTCCTACGTAAGGAATTGCTTCCACTTATTCTCAAAAAAAAAAAGGATATGAAAATGCATCCCCTACTTCATGACAGCAAACCCAAATACCTGAAACCAAAAATCATGCTGTATTTTTCCAGTTACCAAAAATCCCTGCCTGCTCCATCAAGGATTATTCTGACAACTTGCATAGTGCTAGAGGACAGAAGTCTGCCACATTGAAATACATGGTAAAATAATGAGGGAGATACATAAATAATTCTAAAGACACTATCATGCCGCCTGGCCTGGAAAGGACAGTTGCAAATAAAGGGAGAGAAGGTTCCCTGTTGCTTAATTTAGGTCTAGTGTGCTGTAAAAGCCACAGGGTTCCAATAAAGCAGATTTTAAAACTCCTTAAATAGGCCTGTATTTGAATGAACTACCACAGTCAAACAATTTACGTCTAAGTGCACATACTAGGAAGGCTTTTTAATTTAGAAGGAGAAACAATAAGCTTTTTCATAACAGTGGGGTCAAGAGAGTCTCTGTGTCCAGCAGTGAAACAGGCAGTTTCAACAGAAATAAATTTTGCAAGGGGATTGCAGAACGGGCTTCATGTTTATGTGGTAGTTGGGATCTAAATATTTACTTGTACAAAGAGATGATCAGGAAATTATTGGAAAATGACTTTACCCTGTCTGATCTTTCTTCCAGAATTAGTGGAAAAGTCTTAAGAAAGGCTGGCTAGAAGGGCTCTAAAGACTGAAACTGGTACCATTTAAACAGGCACGCCTATGGCAGACTAAAAAATTAAATACAGCTGCATGTATTTACAGGTTGAAATAACACATCCTAAGAGTTCAATGTATTTCTTGGTGTTTAGCCACAATTAGAATATTGCAAATGGTTGATTGCTTTTCTTTCCAGGTCACCTGTTCTAAAAAAAAAATTAATAAATTAACAAATTAGAGTACTATGTGAAATGCAATAATCAGATAAATAGTAATTTTTAAAGAGTCTGTTTTCTTTCAAGAAGGAAAATCCTTTTTCTGCTGGAACATGCTGGAGATGTTACTCGATAGATAAAGGTTATATAAACAACTTGATTGTATTTCCACTGTGCAACAGAAAAAAGTTCAAATCAGAAATAATATTTAAAAAATACACAGACACAACTGATAAGTGGATCAAATTCATCCATTAACAGGAAAAATATGTAGAAAAATATGGATAGCAAGAGGGAATTGGTTTCGATGAGTTTACTAGAGGTTCTTATTAGCTGTGTTAGAAAATGATAGCCACAATTTTTTTATATATATAAAAAACACAATCAAAAATCAATAGCTGGCTTCACTCATTGTGTTGGGCATTTTTCTCATACCCTGAACTCTTCCAGTGTGCTGCAAAAGGAGTTTAGGAACCTAAGACAAACTTCTGGACTCCAGTATGAGAGAAAGGTATGTAAATGCTAAGCACACATGTCCCTTTAAAAAGCCCTTGATAAGTCCACCTTGGCATTACACAGATGAACTGGTAGAAGGGCATCAAGATATGATGATGCATTCATGATTACATTTCTGAAAATGGGCATTTATAAGAATGATCATCCAAAAGATAAAATTTGGTGATTCCTCCACATCAATTCGAAAACCTTGCAGTGTTGATGCACCACGGGTATGTCCACTTCCTAGCAGCTCAAATTCGTATCTTACTCAACTCTTCTACAATTCTCTGAGTTGTTACTAGCATTCAGTTACCCTACATAAAAGATAGCTAACTATTACAGAACTAGGCATGCCACAAAGAAAAAAAGAGTCACACAGGCACTGAATTCAGTGATATCATGTGTCTTCCTTAAAATAAAAGATAATAAATTACTGGGGTTTAATACCCCACAACGTTCCTGAATTTAAAAATTACAGACTAGCAGAGTTGATGCTTTCTATGCTATTATGCATTTCAGTACTGAAAATACAGATACAAATAAGCATTAAATTGTCAAATCTCCTAAATACTACTTCATCATTAAATAGGGCAGCACAGAATAATTTATTGTTATTAAGAACGATCTTTTTGTAAAGCATAGTAAGCTGTCATTGTAGAAATGCATCTCAGAACAAGAATGGAAATATTAAGGAACAATCTTTACCAAACACTGATAGGGGGATAATATGCTTGCTTATCCATTCTCACATTTGCTATAACCTCTAGCAAATATTAAAAATGCTCAACAGGGTATTGTGACTTACTCCTAATAGTATCAGTGGATGCAAGACTTTAGGCTGACTAAAGACTTTAAAATCTCTGCTGCATTGCAACAAACAGATATCTTCAGCAAGTTAACGTCCTTGACATACTTCTTAGAAGTGATCTAAAATCTCCTATTAGAGGGCAACATCTGACTACTCAAGAAAAAGAGAAAAATGCAAATTAATCCAGAACTATCTTAACATGAAAGATAAGTAGCAGGTAAAAAATCATCTGTCATTTTCTGCTATCAAAAAAATTAATATAAAAACTCTGAGTAAAAAAACAAAGCAGAGTATTGAACTACAGATATTCACAGAAATGGTATGTCCCATTTTAGATACTTGTCATACTGGTAAGAAGAGAGAGTGAATTACCATGGGATTAGACTACAATAATTAAATAACTGAATATTTAAAACTAACTACTTTATAAAAGTTAAATGCTAGCCTTTTTACATAAATAAATAATTCTGAAAGTTTCATAGAACTATCAAATTAACTACTTTTGCTTTTCTTGAACTACATTGTCTTGAACTAAAAAAATTCCAGTTGTTATGTAATTAGGGCCTTATGTAAAAAAAAAAAAAAATCTCTTTTTTTAACATATGCATATGTATATTTTAAAATATATCTAACGTTTGCTTACATATTCTACAGTTCTAAAATTAGACTGGGTCAAAACAGTTAAGCACTTTCTGTTCATTCTCTAAACCTCCATGAAAATGTGGTGGTAGTTTAGCACTCAGGGCTGGACTACAAGGACAGATGCTCCCAGATGTTAAACAGTTTAACATTTCATCTCTCTCAAGAGAAACAACGTAGCTTGAAAAAGCTCGCTTATCTTCAGAATGAACATTTCCACCTTGTTTTCCTTTTTTCCCCTGTAAAAATGCAACATTCAACAGACTGAATAACCCCACAAGGAGAACAATAACCAGACCATGAACATTACCAACATCTGTACCACTAGGGCAGTGGGGAACACATTCTGGAGTGGGGTTCTTCATGAACCAATTTCAGCTTCTGATTTAAACTAAGAATATAAAT